GTCGACACATCAAATGGTGAGCTTGAACCTTAAACATGAGCGTAGTTAACAAATCTTTAGCTCGAAGAGTGACACCAGTTGGGGCAGGCCGATGCATTTTCCCTGCCACTCGACCTATGAACCCGATGCCAAGTCGTCTTGCGCAGTGGAGGCGAATCGAAGAAGGAGTATGAACTTCCTTTATGTTCCTAGCGTTATCTTGACGTTGTTAACAGCTCAACTTTGTTAGAACATGTTTTCCTGACGCCGATTTCCCTGCGGAGCTCGTCAAGGCGGAATTCCAGTCCGACGAGCGACAAAACCGAGAGTTGCAAATCTACGATCATTTGAGAGGCAATCTCATTAGTATTATACCGTCTTCCAGCACCCCTCAGACATCACTGGTTCTCTTTCCGGTGGGAGAAACCAGCAGTGAATTGAGTAAGCCCGTCCGCCCAATCCCTAGTTGGTCAATCTCAACTTGAACGCCAGATATTTCGTTTATATCCGCTACTAATTCCGACTCGACTTTTCACGCGCCTGGTCATGCTGCATCCAAGTTCGAGACACCCATTCTCCAGATCTCAACACCGAATGCATCAAATTCACCTCTGAAACATGGTACCAATCCTGTTTTGGTCAGAACACTCTCTGCAACATCTCTGTTGAGCATTGAATTGGCGGATGAAGGCACCGACTTCAAGGCCACGAGGGAGGTGGACATACTATCTGATGACGCGGGAGGCAAAAGCGTGGTAGATGCTGCATTTTCACCCCATGACTCGGATATCATCGCTGTTAACACCTCTGGAGCACTTTACACCTGCAGTATATATCAAGGAGCAAAAGCTGTGTATGTAACTTTTTTCGTCCAATTTCACTGAACTGATGCCTTCATCAGTCGGCCCATGGGGCTTAACCGAGTTCGTTTTGAGAACACAAATGGAGACCAATTTTTCAGGCTTCGTTCATCTGACCAAGGCTACTTCCTAGCGTCAAGTAGCTGCATTCAGCATCTCGATTTCAGGGTACGAACTCAGTAGGACGTGTTGAATTCTCAGCTAACTCAGAAATAGTCGAGCCAGCCTACTGTTGACCTATTTTCAACTGATCAGCTTGGCTCTGTTGTAACATCTTTTGACTGGTTAGAACGAGAACATCTCCTCACCATTTCGACGACCTCGGAGCTCATATGGTTGGATAATCGGTATCCGAAGAAAATGCTTTTGAGTTTTAAGCACAACCGAGCGCATGATAGATCGCTCAATGTCAGAGCTGTACAGCTAGACGGCGGTACGGAATCAGCGATATATTGGTCCTCTCTGTTCACTTACTTTCTATTGCAGGCCCCCTGACTTTCCTAAGTTCGCTTAAAAATGGACTCATCACCATTTATGACGTGTCTCGAGGAAATGACAATCTGATCCACTGTCATTCCATTCCATCATCTTTACCTCATGACGAAAATATGGGTGCGTCTGAGTCGGAAAGTACATTTTTTGTCCAGCCCGATAGGTCCACCTTTTCCCTTTTGCGGCTCTCTGGACAAGGCAGCCTCCACTGTCAGGACTTTGCTGTATGTCGCAATGGCACGGACGTACTTCCAAGACAGACTAGTGGCACTAGCCACGAATGGTCCGCCGATGTGCAGAAACTAGCTCAAAGGGCAAAAGAGCTTCAGCCTCAGTACGGGCCACTGAGCGCAAGGCATTTCTCTGAGTTAAACCTACGGACTGCGTATCAGAGTGAGCATTTGTGATTCAGTTCAGTTGAGTTCGTTGAGATACTTATTTGGTTTCAGAAATTTTCTTCGCGTGTGATATTACAACCGAACAAACTGCCTCTGAGGAAGAAATTGCCACGATGACAGACAAGCTATCTCAGTTTTGGCAAAGGACAGATAATTCTGATAAGGCAATGTTGACCTTGTGAAGCATTTTCAAACATTTATCGTCCTTAGAACTGATTCTTTGTATTTATCAGGCATGATGTCTGCGTTTGCGCCGATGAAGAGCCAGACGAGCCTTCGTTCGCAGGGGGGATCATGAACTCGAATCATGGGTACAAAACACTCGTACGCAACGAGCTACCGGTCCAGGAAATAGCGAGCGGCGCGGCATGGTCTTGCGATTTTAAGGCGTTTCTTTACCATATGGGGCTTGGTCGCGTGGATCACCGGGAGGAGATGGAAGGTGCTCTGGAAGCTTTCAGTTTGTCTTACTCGAACGAAACCCCTGAGTCATTCGCGCAACAAGAGGAAGAGTCACGAGAACAGCTTATCATCGATTTGACTCTTTCTAGTATGGTGTTCTCTGCTCAGCCTATTTCTATGCCGGTTGCTCCAATCCAAGTTGACGATGTGGAGAGTATGTCTCTTGCCGCAAAAGCTCTGACACTTGACGACGAACTTCCTGAGATCCAGTTTGGCTACCTGCGTCCATATCCAAAGCTTGGCATCAACCATTACCCTGATACTTCCTGGGACAAGGACGCTGTTGCAGAACCTTCACAGGACGCGGATTTTTCCAGTCCGCTGGGTGTACGTTTGTTGTTGAGGGAGTGGGAGGTTGGAACAGACGTTGAGTCCTACAGATATTATGATCCATACAACACAGAACGCAACGATCTTGTCGCTCCCTCCCAAGAACGAGCACTCCCAACCGCACCGATTGCTACGCAAACGACGACTACAACGTCACAGCGCCCTCCACTGATTGTCGCAGGCTTCGAGCCCCGTCCACCTCCCATTCATGCCCAGAGTCACTGGGGAAGGTCTGGCACACAGCCTCAAGGCTTCACCTTACGAACCACAGATATTCAGAACGGGAATTATCCTGAACCTTCACAACTCTCTCAAGAGTTGATGACGAGCACTCAAGTGTTACCTGGGCCGTATGGCGGTCGAAATGCCCCGAACAAGAAACTTGTGAAGAAGAGGCTGGGTGGATTCTGATAAATATGTACCAATAATACACACCTTGAGACAACTTGAGAGTGGTGTAATACACAGCTGGTGGCAGTTCTAGGGACCATGGTGTTATGTATAGACGCGCTGCGAATACGAAACTTAAATATAGGTGCATCACTGTCGGCCAAATATGGTCATGACTCATGACGCGTGACGCCCTCCTCCGAAACTCTTCAAGCCTAGTATATCGAATTGCCTTGGAAGATCCCTATCTCCTCTCCAGCTCTTCTTTCTGGCTCCAACTGAGATCACGCCCCGCCTTTCTCGACACAGACTGGCAGAGGCACGAAACTGGACCTTTTGTCTGGTCCAGCAAGAAGAGCTATGGATGGAACAAGGTACGCCCGTAATCTGGACTTCTCGTGAGGTAACAGTTCTTGAAAAGTCTTCAGCACGCCAATAAACCCCTGGTTCAACAGGGATGGTTTTAACAACGTTTTGAAGCGTATGTATGATGAAGAACACAGGTCGATTTTGCAATAACTCCTCTGCTAGGAAATAAGCCAGTGGTCTGCGCTCTCTCGGCCAGCTACATTTCGACCTTTGTTGGATATCCAGTGTGTTTGTCTTTTTTACATTGAATGAACTCTTGAATCTGATTGTTTCCCAGTTGGATTCTTTGAAGTCGAGACTGCAGACCACCAAGACACGGATGCCAGTACTCAAGCTTGCTGGTATTGTCTATCGGGAAGAAGGAGTAATTGGCTTCTATAGAGGTCTCTGGATACCGCTTGTCACGATTTCGTTTGTCCGTGAGTTATCGCACGCTGTCCGTTCTGCACAAACCTAACGATTATACAGGTGCTGCTTCGTTCACGATATACAGTAGTACAAAAGAATACTGTCGCAAAAACAACTATTTTACAGGTGATAGAGCTTCTGATGCTGCCCTCGCAGGCGGTCTCAGTGGTGCCTTGTCTGGGTCATTGATCTCATTTACCAGTGCACGTGCGTGCTCTTTCACCGTGTTCTTTAAACATCTGACATGCGAAACTTAGCCTTCGAGCTTGTCAAGGTATTTTTACTTGGCTAATTTGTCTGGGAAGGTAATCTTCCAAGTCTGTTGACAGGTTCGAAGGCAATTGGAATACAGCATAGCCGCAACTAAAGGTGTACAAATGGTTAAACCCCCAAATACTATTGAAGCTGTCCGAGAAATCTTTCGAACTCACGGGCTGTCCGGACTCTGGATAGGGTTCCGTCTTCACTTTGGTGAGTGTTGTACTTCGCTGTTTGTAATCCTGATTGACCCGCTCCATAGTGCGAGATACAGCTGGCACTGCTTTGTACTTTTTCGAATATGATGCAATGCGACATCTATTGGGCCGCCAGCGCTCGGGAGAGCAAGGACCAACACCAGCATGGCTGCCGATACCCACATCTTTGATTCCCTTTGTCTGTGGTTCGCTGGCCGGCGTATCTTCATGGGCATTGATATATCCCCTTGACGTGTAAGTATACACATTTGTCGTAGTTACAACGCTCATATTTCTTCCTACCTTTTATCAGAGTAAAGACCAAAGTCCAGCAACGTGCTTTAGCTGGCACTCCTCCGAAAGGAGTATGGGAAACCCTCCGTCGCCTCGTGCGCGGTACGGCAGACCACCACAGTCTTGTTACAATGGCTCAAAATTCATTAGGTCCGGATCCTAAAGATCCAAAGCCAGTTCTTGCTGGCATAGCACGGATATATCGCGGTCTCGGCGTCAGTGCAGTGCGGAGCATCACGACAGCACGGGCTCCTCTGGACATTTTTCGATATCACATCGCATTATATCGATCATCTACCCTGACCCGCAACGCGCTATTGACAGAACCCTACCTCGCATCTCAATCAGAGACAAGGCATGTACTATAGCATCTGGTTTAGAATTGCCTAGTCTATTCACTATAATCGATATCATCCGAGATACTTATCAGTCAAATATATGTGGCCTAAAGTTGCGGCAGCCTCACCTCAAGGCTCTAAGCAACTTTTGTCGACCATACTACTTACTCCCTGTCCTGGAAATAAGGAATGTGCCAGGACGGACTATTTCCATCCAAGTGAATCGCCGGGGTAGCTCAGCTGGGAGAGCAACAGACTGAAGCTGGTGATGTATTCTGGAGGTCCCGTGTTCAATCCACGGTCCTGGCATTTGTTTTTTTGGTGATGCTGAGTTCAACTGAAAGGTCACAAGAGTTATGATGTGGCTTCCAAACGCCATGTATACACAATATGAAAGTAACAATATCAGGCGATGGTATACTTTCCGTAATCTTTCTCTGGATCGTATATCTATGCCTTGATCAACAGGATATGGACACAGGAAGAACGCCTTACTTACCTCCCATCGAGAGGCCGGAAAGATGTGCTTAAATCGTTGATACCAGCTCCTCTCCACCACTTTACCAGCGTGTGACTCGTCTTTCTCCTTGGTCGCATCAGCAAGCAGGCGAATATCGTCATGAACGTCAAAATTAAACAATGGCCCACTCTTTCCGCGAGCTTTGTTAATGATGAAGTCATAGAACGTGTGATGCTGTCGGAATACATTGAAATGAATGACCAACAGGGAAAATCCACCAATAACTCACGTGAGGTATTATAAGGTCCTCCTTGATGTACATCAAGTTGTCAACGCTAACGCCTCGCAATTCCGGGAATTGCTGTCGGCACTTCTCCAAGAAGGCGCTAATGGTATCACCTTTCTTACACTAAGGAATCCTGTGAATGAGTGATCGAACGCTAGATTTATATGAGAACACACCACAACCGACTTCCTATGTCCACTCCCATCCCAATAAGAATAGGTGATCTCGATTTCTTCCTGTTTAAGCTCCTCTTGTCTGCGAATCCACTCTTGGCGCAACCTTTCGCGTTCTTTCCTCTCCGCTTCCTCTCGTTCACGGTCGGGGAGGAATGACGTATCAACATTGGGATTCTTACGGAACTTGGCGCGCTTAGACGCTTGTTCACCGTTCTCAACTTCAGGAGTTTGACGTGATGAGGTGTCTCCTTCGACGTCGCCTTCATCGTCCATGGCAAATGATAAGGTAGCTTTTGTCTTCTTGCGTTTCTTTACCCTCTTTGTTTCGTCCCTAAACAAATCCTCCACGGAATATAAGCCATCTTTCCACAGTCGTCACGGCACAAGAGAGAATGGCATTGGACACTGAAAATAACATACTTGAGTTCGTTGGTGCGAGCTGCCTCGCGTGCCTTTGCCTCCTCCAGCTCTTTCCTTCTCTGTTGAAAGTCTTCTAGCCTTACTAGACCGATAGTCTGGTTCTTGAGAGTTTCCTCCATGGAGTCATTTTGACCGACGAATTTGTTGGCCGAGGGACGGGATTTTTCCGTTTCGTTGATAAGAGTCTGCTTTTGGCGCTCAAATTCTTCGCGATTCTGAGCGCGCTGCTTGGCAAAAGCATCTTCACGACGTCCCTCCGCGTTGTTAGAAGCCATGAAGGTTTTGGTTGCGTGAAGTTGAGAGTGTGAAGCGCGAAGTTCGTTCGCGGAGTATGAAATTACTTTTCGAGCTTCAAGCTTTGAAGTTCACAAACGTTCCCTTCTAATTGTTGTCCGAGTAAACCATGGTTCACGTCTTGGGGGTGCAGCTCCCAGACTACCAGTATGCAAGGGTGCGCTATAGCTTATTGTTTCTAAAAGCTTTGCTCACTATCAAAGTTAGTTCGCCTTGACTGCATTCTATGGCATTGGCCATAAAACTGCACATCGACTTTGTGCACGTCTTCAAATTCACGACAAGTGCAAAGTTCGAAGTTTAACACCCCATCAAATCACAGAACTTGCCGCGTTCCTTTCCTCTCCTTCCACTTCAACTCCCATTCCTCGCTTTCCATTAGCCACGGCGTCCTATAAACCTCCATCGGCCTCCACTCCACTCGCGGTCCTGAAGGAAGAGACGAAGAAGCTCTCACAAAGGGCATGGGCAGATCCATTGAGAAACATCAAGATTGAGAGCGAAGCAAGGAGAGTGGTCAAGGATAACGTTGCCCACCAACGCATGATAGGCAGTTATGTTGGCAAAAGGCATGCCATGGGTTTGCCCGTCCGCGGCCAGAATACCCAAAACAACGCTCGGACCGCGAAGAAACTCAACAGGGTCGATCGTCGTGGCTGAGGGTGTTTATTATGTATGTTCCTATATCCTCGGAAGTTCACCGGGCCCCGCGCTTGTCCTGTATTCGTCCTCTAGATAATACACTATTCCTAAGTACATCCGAGGTGGCTTCTCTAGTCGTCTCCGACTGGCACTTCTTCTTCCAGGTACTTCAGCAATGTCACCCGAATCTCCGTACTCTCGTCCCCGCGAAGTACATCAGACAAAAACTCCGCCTGCACTTGCATCTGGACCTGTGAAATGGGCGTGATACATGGTTGCGCCGATTGTTTTAGTTTGTGGACTTACCATCTCAAGTGCTCCTCTAAGAACACCGCATAGCACGTTACTGAACCATAGACCTCCTTCCAAAGCTTCGTCAGGGAGTTCGACAAATTCAGCCAAGGGGTTCTCATCCAGGGTCAGAATGAATGACGAGCCAGGAACTCCTGACTGTTGGGCTGCACTACTTGGGCGGGAAGAAGGTGGTGGAGCACCAGAGTGCGTGACTGTTGGTGTGATATTTAGAAAGGATTTAAACCCGACCTTCAATTAAGGAATTTCTAAGAACGTCAGCTCAGGGGGAGTGGTGATAAACGCACACCTTCGCTACCACCTCGCCCACTTCTCGGAAGTCAGAGCAGCGACCTAAAGAGCTCCTTGCAAGGAAGTCCTCAATTAATCGTGTCCCAATGTTATATCCCATTTTCTCAAGTTGTTTGTTCACTTCAGCATAATCTTCATAGTCCTGGATCAACTGGACGACGAGGGCGCCATATGTAAGAGCAAATAGCTCTGAATTCTGTTTTGGGGGTCAGTTGGGGCCTGATTGACCCAAAGACGCGACGCAAAGTCCAAACCTCACAATCTTCTCTGTACGACCTTTCCAAAGGTCCTCTCCGATGGCTTTGTACTGTTTGCTCGTCGTCGCCATCGTCGACGAAAGTAAGACGAATGACTAGACTGCCGAATTGGGCTGAATTGAAGATTGAATCCACGTGCCTGTCAACTCTAACAAACTTATCATCATCATCATAAGAGCTGCTCAAGAAATATGTCACGGCCAGAACATCAGGCCCCGCCAGAGATTGTACATCTTATTTTCGTCGACTCATAGACAATTTACGACTAATTTTTGGACATCTACAGTATTATGGCGATGCGGAAGCCAAGAAATACACTCAAAAGTATGCTTGTTCATATGTGCATCCCCTTGCCGTTCTTAGTGTCATACAAGCACCCGTAATCAACAGATCCAGGCGGATATGACATATCGTGCTCTTGAGTTGCTCAATCTTCCTCCGGACGAGCCTGCTTTTCTGTTGGATATAGGATGCGGATCAGGGCTTTCAGGTGAGATTTTGGAGGAGGAGGGACATATCTGGGCAGGCGTAGATATCGCGCCAAGCATGCTTGGTGAGTATCAATGCTTCAGCATAGCAAGCACTAGACGTGGGCTGATCACAACTAGAGGTCGCATTAGAGAGGGATATTGACGGCGACCTTTTCTTGCAAGATATCGGCCAGGGATTTGGTTTCCGACCAGGAAGCTTCGACGGAGCAATAAGGTCCGTTGGCTAGACTTCCTTTTCGTGATATTATCTTATAGTCTACTAGTATTTCTGTGTTGCAATGGCTTCTGAATGCTGAAACATCGCATCCAACGTCCTCACCACCACATCGTCTCACCCGTTTCTTCACGACTCTACATTCTGCTCTTCGCAATCCCTCCCGAGCAGTCTTTCAATTTTACCCGACTTCCGATGACCAGATACAACTGATCACTTCAATAGCGCAGAAGGCCGGTTTCGGAGGAGGTGTTGTCGTAGATTACCCAAATTCCAAAAAAGCAAGGAAGGTGTTCCTATGCTTGTTTGTTGGTGGAGGAGGCACGCAGCAGCAAATGCCTAAGGGCGTCGAGGGTGAAGACGACGGGCAAGTAAGATTCGAGAGAAGAAGGGAGAAGGATGGGAAGAGGGCTGTAAGTGGGAAGAGAAAGAACATGAAAGACAAAGATTGGATCTTGAAGAAAAAAGAGGCAAGTCAGACGGAAGTTGGCTACGTCTATCTGCTCACCGATATCATTAGTTGTATCGCCAACGAGGAAAAGAGGGAGTGCCCAGAGATTCAAAATTCACTGGCCGCAAGCGCAAGCCAATTTTCTAGTGGAGTTTCACGCAGTGTTTCGCGAGCACAGGATTTCATGAAAGGATACTATACAAGTACCTACATCTACTCATGTCCGTCTCTCTACGAATAGCTCGGGGAGGGTCTTGACCGCATCCTGAGCATTGTTCCTGATGAACAAGCCTTGGAGGGCAGCCATGCTAATCTTCCTCCCATTACACATCTCTTTGGTGGTTAATTCCTCTACCTGCTGCCCCGTGTGTTCTACAAGCTCCGGTTGGATATTCTCACTACCGCCGTAGAAACGTGTAAAGAGCGTGCGTGCCTGTGTGGGTGACTGCGTCATCAACAAGCACGCTCAGATCAACACGCCCTGGTCTGATGAGTGCCGGATCCAATTTTTCGAGGTGATTTGTTGTCATGAAAATAATCCGTTCTTCTCCCGAGGCAACACCATCCAACGCGTTCAAAAAGCCAGAGAATGTGACAGAGGACTGATAACTATAGCATGTGTTGTTAGCCGTGCGTTCCGAGGTATCAGACTCATCGGCTCACCCATCCTCGCTTGTTTGCACGCGTTTGTTAAATGCGGCATCCACGTCTTCGATGAGTATAAAGCTACGCTCTGGTGCATTTGATAACAGGTGATTGAGTTTATCGTCGCCGAGTCCTCGTTCCGACAAATTGAGTAGACATATGTCATATGATAACGATCCTGCTAAAGCTTGAATATAGGAAGTCTTTCCTGAACCAGGAGGGCCGTGTAAGAGATATCCCCTTCGATATGGAATGCCCCGGTCCGCATACCATTGACGTCGTTGCAGGAACGCCTTGACATCCCGTTCTACCTTTTCACTTACTCCCGTATCCAGCACCACACTATGTAGTGGACGCTTTCGCCGAGGTT